GTTTTCCCTACTTTCTTCAATTTAAGTCTGAATTTGGCAATAAGGAGTTCATGATCTGAGCCACAGTCAGCTCCCGGTCTTGTTTTTGCTGACTGTATAGAGCTTCTCCATCTTTGGCTGCAAGAAATATAATCAATCTGATTTCAGTGTCGACTATCTGGTGATGTCCATGTGTAGAGTCTTCTCTTGTGTTGTTGGAAGAGGGTGTTTGCTATGACCAGTGTGTTCTCTTGGCAAAACTCTATTAGCCTTTGCCCTGCTTCATTCTGTACTCCAAGGCCAAATTTGCCTGTTACTCCAGGTGTCTCTTGACTTCCTATTTTTGCATTCCAGTCCCCTATAATGAAAAGGACATCTTTTTTGGGTGTTAGTTCTAAAACATCTTGTAGGTCTTCACAGAACTGTTCAGCTTCTTCAGCATTACTGGTTGGGGCACAGTCTTGGATTACTGTGATATTGAATGGTTTCCCTAATACAATATCATTCAGCCATAAAAAGAATGATGTATGTTATAACATGCATTAACTTTAAAAACATTATACTACATGATTCCATGTACAAGAGACACCAAAAAGGGCAAAGCCATAGAGGTGAAAGTAGGACAGAGGTTACCAAAGGTTATGGTGGTAGAGAAATGGAAGATACTGTTTCATGGGTATAAAGTTCCTATTTGGGATTATGAAAAAGTTCTGGAAATTGACAGTGGTGATAGGTGCACAACCATGTGACCACAGTTAATGCTATTAAAATGTACACTTAGAATGTTTAAACTGTTCAGTTTTACATTATGTATATGTGGATGCATACTAAGTTGCCTCAGTCATGTCCAACCCCATGGTCTGTAGCCCACCAGGCTACTCTGTCCATGGGATTCTCCAGGCAAGAATACTGGAGTAGGTTGCCATGCACTCCTCCAGGGGATCTTCCCAACCCAGGGACTGAACTTATGTCTCTTATATCTCCTGCATTGGCAGGCAGGTTCTTACCACTAGCACCACCTGGGAAGCCCTATATTACGTGTGTGTGTGTGTGTGTGTATGTTTGTGTGTGTTTGTTAGTCGCTCAGTCATCTGTGTGTGTGTGTGTCAGTCGCTCAGTTGTCTCTGACTTTTTCCGACCCCATTGACTGTAGTCCACCAGGTGCCTCTGTCCATGGAATTCTCCAGGCAAGAATACTAGAGTGGGCTGCCATGCCCTTCTCCAGGGGATCTCCCCGACCCAGAGACAAAACCCAGGTCTCCCACACTGAAGGCAGATTCTTCACCATCTGAGCCTCCAGCATATTTTGCCATTTAAAAAAAAAAAAAAAGCACTTAAAAAAAAATTGGAGCCAGGTTGTACTATAACTTAAGGAGTAGTGTGTGGGAAGTTGACTGCTTTCACATTTTATTAAACAGGATTTACACAATAAGACTTTCTAACACTGGAAGAAACATATATAAATTATACTTGAAGACTTAAATTTAGTCTTAGAGGATTGTAAATTTAATGCTGAATTAATTAAATGTATTTATTTACTCGTTTCAATACTCATTTTCATTAACAAAAACTAACATCAGTTGACTGAGTCTGTGCCAGTAAGAGCAATATTTATACCATTTGTTTATCATTATCCCATGTACTCACATAAAATTAGTAGCTAGCACCCAGTAACACTAATATTTTTAAGAGGAAGAATACAGACCAGATATCTTTACTTACCTGCTATTTTGCCTAAAAAGATAGTCAAGCACCATAAAAAGTCCTTTGAGCATTATTTGAGTTGAAGCACTAATAACAGGTATTTCTCTTGCCTCCTCTTTGCCATGAATTGATGGGACTTTTTCTTCTCTTTGAAGGACAGCAGAAAAATGTCCCTGTAAGAAATTACCATATTAAGTGTACTGGTGAGGGGTGAGGGAGGGAAAAGAGAGGAAAAGGAAAATTCTTAAAACTATTAATAAAACCCAAATGAAATATAATTGAAATTTTAGTCAAACATTAATATGCAAGTGGTAACAATGTATTCTGAATTCCCATATATTCTCAAATCCTCTTCAAAAGACATTTAAATAAGTAACACATTTAGAAGGTTCATTACTTGTTCAGGCGATTAGAGTTTTATTCAGTGCCCTTCAAAAGCAACGGGCTAAATAAATATGTACAAAATGGTTTCTAAAAAGCTTAAAAATCTGATTTGCCACCTAAATCCCTGAATTACCTCCAGGGACTATGCCTATGCTAAGAATCATGACTACGTAAAATTAAAAAAAAAAAAATCAAAAAAAGAATACATGCTAAATACAAAATGTATGCTAACTGGCTCATTAATTTTTATATGGTTTATAAGTTTAAATGAAGACAGAAGTGTGGACATTAAGATAAATTTCCCACACTGTGAAAGAGAAAACTCCGAATGCTGCTGCTGCTAAGTCGCTTCAATTGAAGCAGTAAAAGATACTGGTGACAACTCTGATGTCTGACAATAAAATCTGTGTTCAATGAAAATAAAATGGGGAAATAGGATAAATAAGACATCCCAGTGAGCCTAGCAGTAAAGACCCGCCTGCTAATACAGAAGACGCAAGAGACTCAGGTTTGATCCCTGAGTCAGGAAGATTCCCTGGAGTAGGAAATGGCATCCCACTGAAGTGTTCTTGCCTGGAAAATTCCAGGGCAGAGGAGCCTGGTGGGCTACAATCGCTGGGGTTGCAAAGAGTTGGACATGTCTAAGCAATTGAGCGATGCAATACAATCAATGAAAATCAAATTGGGAAATGGGATAAATAAGACAAAATTTCAATATCCAGATATATTGTGAAATAATACACATTTATAAAAGTAAAATTAGTCTCCACTGAACAAAACATTAAATGATAAAAATTTTTTTTTTTACTTTTATTTTTCCAGACTTTAAACTTTTTATTTTGTTTTGGGGTATAGCTGATTAACAACATCATGGTAGTTTCAGGTGACCAGCAAAGGGACTCAGCCATACATACACGTGTCTCCATTCTCCCCCCAAATACCCCTCCCATTCAGGCTGGCACATAAAATTGAGCAGAGTTCCATGTGCTATACAATAGATCCTTGCAAAAATATTTTTCAAAAATAAAGAACAACAAAAAAAGATAACATGAACTTGAATAATTCAACAGTACAAATTATTAACAAAAGACAAGTACTAAATTGTTCTTTAAAAAAAAAAAAATCAAGTTCCCTGAGAAACACCTTACATGAAAGCTACTATTCCTCTCCAACACTGGCAGACAATTGGCAATTTACTTCGTAAGCTACGTAATTTCTGAACTCTTAACGATAAGGCACTGTAGTAAAAATAAAAGGACTGAATGAAATTCTATCTACTGAACCATAAGACAACTCCAAGGCTACCTCTGGCTAGGGTACCTAAACAATGATAGCTAGGTTTATAGATAAATAGAAAACTAACCAAATGGGGAAACACACACACACACAAGTAATTATTACTTCATAGTAAAACTAGAATCATATTAAAATTTAATCAAGCAACTTACATGATTTTACTATTATGAACTATGATAACATAATATGATGACATGCACAGTGAATATTAATATAATTATGCTGAAAAAATGGAGCGTGAAGAAAGGGAAAGAAGACAGGAGGAAAACGAAACAGAGAGGGAGGGACAGAGAGGAAAAGAGAGGGAGTGTGTGTGTGTGTTTGTGAGAGAGAGAAAGTGTGTGTGTAAAGGAGCTGAATCTTCACCATACTTAACTGGAATTCAATAGAGAATATCAAAAATTGAAAACTAAAAAGTAGCTGAATCTACATGTTATTTAGAAAATTGGGGTTAATTATCAGAGAAACCATTACAAGAGTTAAAAGAGCCACTGAAAAGTAAAAATTGAAAGTGGGGCAGATGATGCTTTTCTTGATTTTTTAAAAATTTTATTTATTTTATTTAATTGGAGGACAATCACTACACAACACTGACTTTTAAACTATGTTCACACACTCAATCACTTCGGTTCAGTCGTTCAGTCGTGTCCAACTCTTTGCAACCCAATGAACCCCAACACGCCAGGCCTCCCTATCCCTCACCAACTCCCGAAGTCCATCCAAACCCATGTCCATTGTGTCGGTGATGCCATCCAACCAATTCATCCTCTGTTGTCCCCTTCTCCTCCTGACCTCAATCCCTCCCAGCATCAGGGTCTTTTGAAATGAGTCAGCTCTTCACATGAGGTGGCCAAAGTACTGGAGTTTCAGCTTCAGCATCAGTCCTTCCAGTGAACACCCAGGACTGATCTCCTTTAGGATGGACTGGTTGGATCTCCTTGCAGTCCAAGGGACTCTCAAGAGTCTTCTCCAACACCACAGTTCAAAAGCATCAATTCTTTGGCGCTCAGGTTTCTTTATAGTACAACTCTCACATCCATACATGACCACTGGAAAAACCATAGCCTTGACTAGACGGANTAGCGTGTGAGATGAGTGCAATTGTGTGGTAGTTTGAGCATTCTTTGGCATTGCCTTTCTTTGGGATTAGAATGAAAACGGACCTTTTCCAGTCCTGTGGCCACTGCTCAGTTTTCCAAATTTGCTGGCATACTGAGTGCAGCACGTTCACAGCATCATCTTTCAGGATGTGAAGTAGCTCAACTGGAATTCTATTACCTCCACTAGCTTTGTTCATAATGATGCTTCCTAAGGCCCAGTTGACTTCACATTCCAGGATGTCTGGCTCTAGGTGAGGTGATCACACCACTGTGATTATCTGGGTCATGAAGATCATTTTTGTACAGTTCTTCTGAGTATTCTTGCTACCTCTTCTTAATATCTTCTGCTTCTGTAAGGCCCATACCATTTCTGTCCTTTATCAAGCCCATCTTTGCATGACATGTTCCCTTGGTATCTCTAATTTTCTTGAAGAGGTCTCTAGTCTTTCCCATTCTATTGTTTTCCTCTATTTCTTTGCATTGATCACTGAGGAAGGCTTTCTTATCTCTCCTTGCTATTCTTTGGAACTCTGCATTCAAATGGGAATATCTTTCCTTTTCTCCTTTGCTTTTTGCTTCCCTTCTTTTCACAGCTATTTGTAAGGCATCCTCAGACAGCCATTTTGCTACATTACTGTGGTAAAAGTTAACTTCTAAACAATTCAATAATCACAATAATGAATTTTTTAGGATCAAAGGAAATCTCCCTAACCTAATTTTAAAATAAGTAAAAATACTACTGCATCTATGAAATGAGAAAAAATATTTGCAAATCATATATCCAATATGTTGTTCATACCCAGAATACAGAAAGAACTTAAACAATCAACAACAAAAGACAACTCAATTTCAGGATGGGCAAAGGATTTGAATACAGATTTCTCCAAATATATATTAATGCACTATAAGCAGCTGAAAAACTGTTTGCCATTATGAGTCATTCAGGAAAAGAAAAGAATATCATCTTGAGATATCGCCGCATTCTTCCTATGAAGATTATAATAAAAGAGATAAGAAAACAAGCATTCGTGAGAATGCAGAAAAAAATCAGAATCCTTGTACATGGCTGACGGGATTGTAAAATGGTACAGCCCCTATGGAAAAGTTTGGCAGTTCCTTAAAAAGTTAAACACAGAGTTACTTTGTGGACCAGGAATTTTACTCTTAAGTACACACCAAACAGAACTGAAAATATATGTTGCACAAAAATCTGTGTATGAATGGTCATGGTTGTGTGTTTATAACAGCCTGATAATGGATAAACAAAGTACAGTACCTTCATAAAATGTAAAATTATTTGGAAATAAAAAGGAATGAAGTATTGATACATCCTACAACATAGATGAACCCTGAGAACATTATGCAAAGTGAAAGAAGGCAGTCACAATAACAGGTAGATTCACAGAAGCAGAAAGTGCATTAAAGGTTTTCAGGATCTGGGGTAAGAACAAATGGGAATGACTGCTAACGGGTATAAGATTTCTTTCTGAGGTGACAAAAATATTCTCAAATGAGATAGCATTGATACTTGCATAATTCTGTGACTATAGGACAAACCACTGAATTGTATATTCTAAAGGGTAAATTTTATGGTATGTGAATTATATCTCAAATCAATTACCATTTTTATATACTGATAAGAATCAGAAAAAGCAATTTTTTAATTATACCATTTGAAAGAGAAATAGAAACTTTATAACTTCTCAGGAATAAATCTAACCAAAAGCAAATAAGACTTTTAAAAATTACAAAATTCTATTGAAAGATATATAGAGATAATAAATGATTAAAACTATATCTTGTTTATGAATGAAAAACTTTGTATTGTAATATGTCAATTCTTTCTAAATATATAAATTTAATGCAATTTCAGTCAAACTTTCAACAGATTTGTTCATAGACATTTATAAGCTCATTCTAAAATTCAAATTTAGAGTAAGGCAACGTACAGCCAGGATCATTCCAAAGGAAAATAAAATGAGGAGATAATGCCTTATTACCATGCATGAGCATTTTTCTAATGCTACAGTAACTAACAAATTATATAACTTAGACAAAGAGTCAAAGAACACAACAGAGTCCAGAAATAAGCTTACACATAGATGAAAAAAAGTGGCATTACAATCAGAGTGAAATAGATGGATTATTTAGTAAATGATGCTGAGAAAATTCATACAAAATAAAATGGATTCTGTACCACACAACATAAACAAATATGACCCCCGGTGGTTGAAAACATTTCTTAAAAAAGAAAACTTTCACACTCTTAGAAGAAAAATGTCATGGAAGAACTAAAACTAAACTCAAATATTACAATTCATAAAAGAAAAAACATGGATACATTTGAATGCACTAAAATTAGCTTCTGCTAAGTTGCTTCAGTTGTGTCTGAC